GCCTTTCGTGTCTGGCTTCATTCATTTAGGGTAATGTTTTTCAAAGCTCATCCATGTTTTAACACCTATCAGTTTTTCGTTTCTTTTTATGGCTAAACAATATTCCATTATTGCTGCTTTTTAATTTTGTTCATTTATTGGTAGACACTTGGGTTGTTTCCACCTTTTGGCTGTCATGAATAGTATTGCTTTGAACATTTATGTGCAAATTGTTTGAACTTATTTTCAATTTTTGAGTATATACCTAGAAGTGGAAATGCTGGGCATATGGTAATTCTATGTTTAACTTTTTTGAGGAACAGCCAAATTGTTTTCCACAGTGGCTGCACCATTTTACATTCCCACTAACAGTATACAAGATTTCCAGTTTGTCCACATCCTTGCCAACCCTTGCTAATTTTTAATTTTTTAGTATAGCCTTTCTAATAGGTATGAGGTGATATCTCACTGTGGTTTTGATTTTATGTTGATCTTGTCGTGCACTTGTTGTCAGACTCTTGTCATGCACTTGTTGATTATTTGTCTGTCTTCTTTGGAGAAATGTTTAGTCGAGTCCTTTGTTCATTTATTAATAGGGTTGTTTATCTTTTTGTTGTTGAGTTGTAAATGTTCTTTATATATTCTGGATACCAGACTTTTATCAGATACGTTATTTACAAATGTTTTTCCCATTCTGTGGTTTATATTTTCACTCTCTTGATAGAATCTTTTGATGTATAACATCTTTTAATTTTGATGAAGTCTAATTTGTCTATTTTTTTTCCTCTGTGCTTGTGTTTTTGGTGTCTTGTTTAGGAAACTATTGTCAAATCCCTGAGACAATTTTAAAGATTACTACTTTACTGTACAGTGTTCAAGGTCAGGTCCCATGGTTTGCAAATACTTTGTCTTAGAAACTTTACCTAAAACTTTACTCCAGAAAAAAAGATGACTTGGAAAATAAAAATCATATATATTTCATTTTAAATCTATTGTTTAAATTCAAGAATCTGTAGTAACACAGGGGTTGGAGACACAAACTGTGCCCAAAGTGAGCTTGAAGGAACTCAAACTATTCTGAACCAGTAAGAACTTACTCTTTAAATAAGCACATGTAGCTTAGTCCAAACGTCTTGGAGACCAACATAATAAGATTCTCAAATTAACTTTTATATAGAGTACAATGTTTATTAAGGATAGTAACAAAAATATAATTTGATTCATATTCAAAAGCATTCTCAGCAATTGTTTCAACTCAAAACAATTGAAATATTTTTTCAGAAGTATTTTGTGACTGATATTGTTCAGAATTGCCTGAGCACAATGATTGTTGACTTTTTAGTTGTTTTATTATTGTTTTAAAATTAACTCCAGACAATACACCCCCTATTGTCTGCACCCAAAACAGATTGCTTCTACTGCCCTGCTCTTAATGTGTTATTACTTTTCCTGGAAAAAGTGGTTCTCAAAGTGTCATCTCCAGGCCAGCAGCTTCCGCATCACCTGGGAACTTGTAAGACACAAACATTCTTGGCTTCTTCCAAGAATCAGCAACTCTGGGAGTAGAACCCAGTAATCTGTGTTTTAACAAACCCTCCTGATGATTCTGATGCTTAGGTTTTAGAACCCCTGTCCTAGAATATGGAACCTGCAAGACCTAGGAGACTGGTACCTAGGGCACTGGTAAATCCAGTCCTAAGAGATGGTAGTTAAGTCAGAAAAAGTGGCCACAAGCTCTATGTTCCGGTAGTCTTGGATATCTGTCCCTCCTGTTGTCAGTAAACAAGAGTGTCTCTGGCTGGCAGATAGAATGTTTTAGCCTCCAGTCCCTCAAACAGTATCCATGGTGCAAACACTGACTCAGTTAAGAATCAAAGACTCCTGGAGACTATGGTTGCTAAGAGTGGTGAGTTTTAATTTGGTTTGTTCCCTTCTCTGGGGATCCTACTGCTGTGTTGCATGTAGCACCTGTGCCACCACACCTGTGTTCACTGCCCCTCCCTGGGTTGTTGCTCTGTATAATACACCTCTGATGTTGGCAGCCCACGGCCTATGATTCAGCCTCTGCCAGGGAGCCCAGGCACCCAATGTGCTAAGAATAGAATTTTCCATTTCAGTTTTATGTAAAAGAAGATTTCTTCTCTTTTATTCATCAAGTATGAAAGCTCTACTAAATGCCAAAGGAATGGGTTGTGGTTACACTGGCAAACAAGTTGACATGATCCCTGCTCTCAAAATGCTTTCTCAGGTAGGAAAGAAGGGAATTTAGAAAGGAAATACAAATATAAATTGTGCTAATTGTTTGTTATGATGCCTAACTGTTCTCTTCAGAAATACAGGACAGAAAATGATGCTTCCTACTCTCTTACTCATTCCAGCTACCTAAATATCTCTGCTGAAGAGATTTTCAAAACTTAATGACACATAAAAAATATGCATCCTTTCTATTGCCTTCAGGGACCTGCTTCTAGGCTTGAGCTCATCACTGACATCATATGCTAATATTTCTAGCATTTAATGAGAGGTAGTACAGTATATAATAATTATAACTTTTCATATTTGTACCCTTTGGCCTAGTCACTTCTGGGAATCTCTCCAAGAGGGATAATGTGGTCTTTAGAAAAAAACTGTACCATTCAGATAGTTACTATAGTTTTATATATTCAATAAGCCAATTGAATACTCAGTTATTATTTTGCTAATGTGAGTAAATTGTTTGATTTCATTGTGTGTCATGGGTAAAATGGGGTGATAATATCTATCTCAAAAAGTTTGTGATGACTGGGCGCAGTGGCTCACGCATGTAATCCCAACACTTTGGGAGGCCGAGGAGAGAGAATTGCCTGAGCCCATGGATTCAAGACTAACCTGGACAATTTGGTGAGACCTTGTCTTTACAATAAATCAAGAAAAATTAGCCAGGCATGGTGGTGCACGCCTGTAGTTCCAGCTGCTTAGAAGGCTGAGGGGGAAGGATCACCTGAGCCCATCAGGTTAAGGTTGCAGAGGCCGTGAGCTTTGATATGAGGTTTTGTTACCTAAGCATGATTGATTAAATCTTTGGACATTGGTGATTGAACCCAATTTCCAGTTCCCTTCCCTTCCCCAGAGATCAGGGGATGGGGCTGAAAGTTTCAACCCTCTAATTATGTGGTTGATTTCTCTGGTGATCAACTCCAATTCTGAAGCTATCTAGAGGTCCCACCATGAATCACCTGTTTAGCATAAACTTAGGTATGGTCAAAATGGGCTCATTACAAATAACAAGATACTCATAGCATCCAGGAAATTCCAAGTGATTTAGGAGCTCTGTGCCAGGAACTGGGATAAAGATCAAGTATATATTTTTTATTATACCATACCACACAAGGGATACCTGATCAGACTCTTCTCAAGAGTGGCCTTTTGGTTTGGAATAGTTATGGGCACACGAACAGTTCTCTTAATCAGATTCCAAAATCTCATTCCTATGAGCATCACCTCCCTGGTTTGACGTGAGGTCGGCTATATGTGCAACCACTGCTTAGCGCTGGGAACACAACAGGTACAGAACTTTGTGTCAAAGATTTTGATCTACTGGGAAAGAGAGAGACACATCTGGGTGTGTTATAGGAGTGTTCCAACTGACTTTTAGACTTGGGGGCTATGGACTCTGTAGAGGATTTAGATGAGTGAAGCTTAACTGGAACCTCTGACAGGGACTGGTGGGTGTCTCCAAATGGAGAAAGGAGAGAGAACCTAATAGGCAAAGGTAGAGGCCATGGTAAGGATGTGAGGAGCATATGTGGAGGTTGGAGTTGACTTGGAGTAGGTATGGCCCCCTTGTCAAGGGCCTTGTTATCAGTAGCAATTATTTAAGCAGGGAGCTTTAGAGAGTTTAGGTTTATTTTGAAGAAAGATCATCCTGGACAAGCTGGAGAATGAATTGGAGGGAGAGAGCCACTATCAACTCTTCAGTAGTCTACTACATTAATCTCCTGGTCTCCAGGGCTCCTTCCATTCAATCCATTCTGGGCACAGTGATCAGAGTTCTATTTTAAAACATAAATGTGCCCATGTAACTCCTCTGTATAACTTCTCCAATAGCTTCTCAAATCCCGCAAATCTTCCACACAGCTTACAATGCCCTGCATGGTGTGGCCCCTGCCCACCTTTCCTACCTGATTCCAAGCCTTCCACCCCCACCACCCCATGCTCTCGTCTTTCAGTTTCTTGAGTGAGCACAAGTTGTTTCCTCTTCTTGAAGTTTTTCCTGCTTCGTCCTCTCTATGGCTCCTTTTCTTTCAGGTTTAAGCTTAAATGTCACCTTAGGGAGGTCTTAGCCTCCTACTCTAAATAGAGGATCTTATTATTTTCTACCATTTATGTCAAGTTGTGGCTTATGTATTAGTTGATTTAATTGGCAAACATTTTTCCCAAAGAGCCAGTTGGGAAATATTGCAGGCTTCGCAGGCCATAGCTTTCCTGCCCTAATAGCATAAAAGCAGCCACAGACAAAAATACTCAAAGGAAAAAGTGTGGCTGTGTTCCAATAAAACTTTCTTTATAGACACTGAAATTTTAACTTCATATAATTTTTACGTGTCACGAAAATATGCTTGTTCTGATATTTTTTTTTCAACTATTTCAAAAAGTTAAAAACTATTCTTAGCTCCCAGGTTGTCCTAAAACAGACGGGCGGGATGGTCTGCGGACTGCAGTTTACTTGGAGTTTATCTTTTGCCGATAACACCCCGGTTGATTCAGCCAATGTTTGCTTCCCATGGAACCATGAGCACTGCGAGCGCTAGGACCGCGTCTGCTAGTTCATCTCTGCGGACCTCACGCGTCGGGGCCTTCCTGGGAGCCAGATGAAGCCGGGTGGGCGGTGTCTGCGAGAGCCGTGCCTCCTGAGGGGGCGGGACAGTGGTGGAGGGGCGGGGCAATGGAGGAGGGGTTGGGACGGTGTG